CCGTCTGAGGGCTCTCAGACGAGCGAGGCAAGCAGAGGTGACGGAGCAGCTGGTAACGGAGATTCAGCAGGCCTGGAAGGCTCAACGGCACGCTGAGGTCTGGCGCCTGGCGCATCTTCTGCCGGGCCAGTGTCGCGGGCCTCGCAAGAGGCGCTACAATGCATCCGACGAGTCCTTGCCGCGAGCTGATGAGGTCTGTGCCTACTTCGCGCAGGGCGGCCCGCAGGGAGGTTTCAAGGCATCCCCGATCGACCTGCATGCGTTCTCGGCGGAGAGTATTGCCGACCTTCCACCTCCCCCAACGTTCGGCGAGGACAACTTTGCGTCGGTGGAGGCAGGTTGGGGCGGTCTTCAGAGAGCTTGCGACATCTCGGCTCGCTCCCCGAGACGAAAGGCCCCACCCTTCATCCTGCAAGGGCCTTGCACAGCGTCCCGACGGAGATATTGCAGATAGTGGTGGACCCAGAGCGTCGTTTCGACTGATCTTTTCGCCCCCGTCGACGACAGGATCAGAATGGGGAGGATGACAACGACGGCCCTGTTCGCCCCCGTCGCCCTGAACCCCAAGCTTCTCGGCGTCGGCTCGCGGGAGATCGGAGAGGCGTAGGTGCTGGTGCCGAGCAGGTTTCCAACAAAGCCTCCCTACGGGCCCTGCAGCAGGTATTTCACCACATTCGGAGAGTAGGTCTGACCCCCGTGATACGGCATCACTCAAGAGCCACTGGCCTCAACAAGATGAATGGGAAGGAGGGCATCGGGGCTCGAGCGCGGTTACCTTCCTGGACGGAATCGCGAAGGCGCCTCGGTGCGCCAAGAAGCTTTACTCTGGAGGCTTCGGGGCCCAGGCATATCCAGCGTGACTTCGATGGAGGACATGTCGAACGCATTTGGGTGTTCGACGTTGGGGGCCCTGCGTGCAACGGTGACGCAGTCGATTAGAGCCTGATACCCAGAAGTGTTTCCATCAACGCCATGAGCTCAGCAGCTTTACCGTCACGGCGTCAGATGGGGAACAGACTCTACGGAATGCCTGTGGAGCTTCTATGGGTGATAGCCCAGCCGCTGTCTTTTTCGCTCGGACCTTCAGAAGGCCAATCCAGAGGTGGCTTGATAAGTTGAGGGCGCACTCCTGGGGTAACCTCCCTCCTCCGTCTCGGGATTCCACGTATACTGAATGGGCATCCGCGCCTCTTGCTCCACGGGTCCCTCCTGACAACTTGGATGCGCACATTTGGCCTTCTGAAGATACTTGCACGGCCTGGACGCCGGCGTTGCAGCGTCCTGTGCCCCTGTCGTGCCGTATCTATGCTGACGACGCCAGTAGGACTCACGTGGTGGGCTCATCAGTGAATGCGCAGTGTACTTTGGACGTTGCTCATCAGAGGTTACGAGAGTGTCTCGCTGAGGGATGCTATGAGCACAACGCTGACAAAAGTAGAGTTTCTCCTGTCTTCGCGGGCAAGGGTTCGAAGGACTTTTCGGAATCGATCTTCGGAGGCGCCATCCCCGTCTCAGGAAGGGTCCAGTTCGACAGCGTTTCCCTGGGCATCGCTGCGTCCGTCAATGGAGGGGTTCAGGAAGAGCTTCGGCGTCGAGTGCTCGCATGTCGGCGGGCTTACTACTCTATGGGGCGTTTTTGGTCTCGGAACCGCGTTTGGCGATTTACTTTCACGGTGTTCGGGGCTGTGGTCAAGGGGGCCATCCCCTCAGGACTTACCACCCTGGTCCTGAGCACCACGCAAGAGCGGAAATTGGATAAGGTCCTGGCTGGGCTCGGTCGGAAACTTCTAGGCGGCGATGCTTGTCGGAAGACAGAAACGCTCGACGGCGACGGCAATCCTGCTCTCGACGGCGACGGACGGCCTATTCTGAAGTAGTGTGCGCGTACCGACGAGACGGCGCTGCGAAGGCTCGGGGTCGCGCCTTGTGGCACGGAGCTGAGAGTCAGGCGGCCTCGCTCCTACAATCGGCGGATTCGGCGCCCATGCAATCGCGCGCAGGAGCTCGGCGCTGTTTTCGGGCAGCTCCCAGTCGAGGCCACGCCCACTCTCCTACCTAGTGAAACACTTCCGCCCTCCGCGAACCCCTGCGCCCGGCGTTTCGCTGTGGGCTGCATCAGGATGTTGAAGAGGAGTGAGGAGTAGGGGCCCCCTGGAGGATTTGCGTCTTCGACCCCTCGACCCCCGACCCGCTCAGTATCAACATCCGTGCGTTGTTTGAGGACCCTGAAGTTCGAGGCAGGTTTCTCCGCCTGGATCCTGGAATACTTAGGGCTGCGGCAAAAACAGTGACTATACCGCCTCCCCCTGGGCTCTATTCCTCTGGAGTTTCAATGGTTGGTCCCGAGGTGGTCCCTGCCCCGCCTGCTTCGACGACATGGAAATGCGAGATTGCGGACTCGACGGGGCAAGTCTGTGGTCGTGATTTTCCAGCTCGCAGGGCCTTGTTGGCTCACCAGCGTTTTTTCACGGAGGGAGGCCACTCGATTCGACCGATTGCACGCACTATTACGATCACGGGCCAGTGCGTCTACTGCCGTCAAACCTTCAGGGCCCGTCGACTTGCTCAGGAGCATACCCTGCGGGCAAGACTTAACCGGAATTGTCCTCGCCAGTCCGTTTTCCATCATCCCGTCATTGTGCCTGATGAGTTGGTGTGTCCCCTGTCGCGCATCACGATGGCATCTGTCTTTGGAGGGCATAATACAGCTTATTGTTGCTCAGTGGGTCGCACTTTCGCTTCCCTTGATCTCCTGTCAGTGCATCTAGCCACACGCGCGACCGCACCCCTCTTTCGTGATGTCCAAGCTGAACGCCACGCAGATAGAGGAGGCGGCCGAGCGCTCTCGCTCGAGCGGGCGAGACGGGCGCGGCAGAGGCAGCGAGAGTCACCGCAGTGGGTCCGCAGCTGTTTCCCGCGCTCGTGGAGGGAGAGGTGCCGCGCGGAGGCGCAGCCAGGCCCCGCGGCAGGGCGACGCAGGCTCAGCAGCAGGCGGCGCTACACCACCAGCAGGCAGCCCCCAGCAGGCCGTCGAGATCGGGAAGATCTACGGCCTGGCCCCCGACACGATCGACCGTCTCCCGCGGATGGATGCACAGATGATGGCGCGGATCTCCCCTGTGCTGACGCGAGCTGTGTTGGGCAGCACCTTCCAGCTGCGGATGCTGATGGCGGCCGAGTTTCAGACTTTCACGGCGGAAGATTCGGTCTCAGTCACCGAGGTCGGCTTCCAAGCGGGTCGGGCGTACGCAACGGGGGCGACTCGTCTTCGCGCTGCTCGTCAGGCCGACCCCGGCGCTCCCATTCCAGAGGCGAAGATGGGTCCTGCGTGCGTCCAGATCTTCCTCGCTGTGCGCGACCAGATTACCAAAGAGGGCGATCGGGTCGGCGCGAGGAACAACTCAGCCTGGGAGACTCAAAAAGGGAAGACCGACGCGATCACGAACATGGCGGAGATGGCGATGCTGGCGAAAGGTTTCAGGGTGAGCACGGCGTTCAAAACGGGGCAGTGCAAACTCGTAGTCGCCCTCACAGACCCGACAATGATGAAGAGTCTCTCGGACTGCCTCGTCCAAATAGGGTTCGAGCATCGACAGGGCATGGCACCGCGGAGCAATGTGGAGCGGATCCTATAGTTGGCCGTGGACGAGTTCGAAGACAGCCTCTGAGATCAGATGCTACCACGGGTGGATCAACGGCAGGGTCGTCGACAGGCCAAGCAACTGCAGACCCCCCCTCCCCCACCGTCCTGGGAGCGGCGGCCCCCAAGGAGGTAAAGGGGGGGGGCGCCTCAGGGGCTTCGCCGCACGGGGATCGATTTCAACGGGCGGATCAGTTGCAGGGTCGCCGACGGGCCGAGCAACTGCAGACCCCCTCCACCGTCCTGGGCGCGACGGCCCCCAAGGGGTTAAAGGGGGGGGCGTCTCAGGAGCTTGGCCGCATTGCGTTCGATTGCCACGGGTGGATCAGTGACTTTACCCTCCCCGATTGCCGCGGGTGGATCAGTGACGGAGTTGCCGTCTTCGATTGCCACGGGTGGATCAGTGACGTTGATACCCTCGATTGCCACGGGCCGATCTTCCTCAGAGATGTCGTTTCGAATCGCCTCGGGTGGATCGGCCACCAGACCCTCGGTCTCGAGATCGACGTCCGCACCCCCCGCCTCGACGGCACGCTCTGAGAGGGAGCGCGACTTCGAGGCTCGGCCCGCCGCCGCCGCCTTGGGCCCTCTTCGTCGCCCTCCTCCTCCTCCTCCAGTGCGTCCGCAGTATAGTTTCAAAGAACTGGTTAGCATGCTCACCAGATAGTTTTCTCCTGGCCTCCGCGAGGCTGTTGAGTTTAGTTTCTTTTAGGTCCCTGAGCTCTGTGAAGCCCTGGTAGAGCTTAGCATGCTCACCTGCTTGTTTCCCTTTCCATGGCCTCCGCGAGGCTGTTGAGATTGCTTAGTTTCGTTATCCTGAACGGTTCATTCGGGTCCGAGCTCTGTGAAGCTGTGGTAGGGCGAGGTTCACTTGGGGCTCCCGCTGCGGGGCCGTCCTCTATCCGCGACCCGACGCGCACGGTAGGTCGCAATTGCCCGAGATGAGATCGGATGGTTGATTCAAGTCGAGTTTTATCGACCTTCGGCCCGACGCCGCATCGCCGCCGCTGCCGCCTCCTCCTCC